GTCTCAGGCTATGCCTGAGAGATATGCAAATGAACTATCCTCCAGGCTTGTTCTCCCAGATTCAAGCCAAAGCCATGAAGGCTTGGAGAAGGCTTCCTGTTAAAGGTGAACCTAGCCTTTCCCTTACATCAATTAAACAAAACTCAGGAGAATCTTATTCTGATTTTGTGGACCGCTTAACTACGGCAGCCACTAGATTGTTTGGCACCTCTGAGAATGGCATGGAACTCTTTATTAAACAATTGGCCTTTGAAAATGCAAATTCGGCCTGTCAGGCTGTAATTCGGCCCCAGAAAAACAGAACAGACATTAATGGTTATATCAGGCTCTGTTCCAAGATCAATCCTTCTTATCAGAAAGGTCACGCCATAGGCCTCGCTGTGGCAGTGGCACTCCCAGACCACTCTAAAGTCTGTTTTAAATGCCAAGACCCTGGCCACTTCTCTCGAGACTGTAAATCCTCTGCTAGCCAAACAAAAAAGGCTGACAATTTTGTCAGGCTCCCGGGACTGATCACCTTCAGACATTAAATGATTTTCAAAAACTTCTGGGTGATATTAATTGGCTCCGCCCATACTTAAAATTAACCACGGGAGAGCTTAAGCCTCTGTTTGACATTCTTAAAGGCGACTCAGATCCTAGATCTCAGAGAGTACTCTGGCCAGCTATTGCAAAGGTAGAGGAAGCAATGGCTCAACAGTTCATTACCAGAATAGATTACACCAAGCCTTTATGGCTCATTATTTTTTGTACAGATTTCTCTCCCACTGGACTTCTTTGGCAGCAACCTCATAACCCCCTTATGTGGCTTCAAAATTACAGATAATGATAAAAAAGACTCTGTCTTCTTTAGTCCCAGTACTCGGGAGGCAAAGACAGACGGATCTCTGTGAGTTCAAAGTCAACCAGGCCTATACAGAGAATTCCAGGCCAGCTGGGACTACAGGGAAACCCTGTCTTAAAACAAAACAAAAGACATTTTATGCCACATCATATTATTAATGATGGGAAAAAGATATAATGTAAGATATTATAAATTATTATATTTACACAATATTAATATACAAAAATGTGTA